CCAACCAACCAACAAACAAACAAACCAACCATCCAACCAAACAAACAAACAAACAAACAAACAAACAAAACAGAATTTTCCCGATATAACAAATGGGCGGGTACCCTCCAAACTGCAACACATGCCAGATCTTATCAATCCCATTCGTTACTGTATGATATGAGATAAATAATTATGATTATATTATAAAGATACCATATCTCACTGAGGGCGAAGTATATGTAAATTACACATAGGTTTGTAATAGGAAAAATATTATCCCAAGGAAAATACTGTTACTCGAGACAGTATTGTACGAATGTTGATATTTTTGCTGATACAAACCTATTTTTATCAGATATTAACTTTGAAATAGCAACAGTTCAAAATAGTTAGTCACATGGTACAATTGGATAATCAGTAAGAATAACTTTCATCCGCGAGAGGTAATGTGAACCGATGTGATGCCTTGACAAGGGTTAAATTGTGATTGTTTTTGTTGTTGTTTTTTTTAGCCTATACTCAGCGCTGGAATGAACCACGTGACCAAGACCTACGGCGTCCTTGCCGGTCCACTGTAGTCGTCGGGAACGTCTTTTAATGCTGCCTTGTTCGTTCGTTGATGGTTATGAATATAAATCGGCATAATTCCACTTGAATTGTTGCATTGTCTCAAACACCTTTTCAAAGGCTCGAACACATTAAAAAAATGTTAGTATTTTATTTTCAAGCAATCTATGTGAACATTTTTTGTTGAGGGTAAAGGGATAGTTGGGGCAATGTAACATGAATGGTTAAATAGGTCAACATTAACTTCAGGGTAGAAAAATTGCTCAACATATGCCTCCTCATTAAAGAAAAAACAAAAAGTGAATATTTGGTCTGAATATTTGGTAACTGAATCCAAAATGATGAGGAAAGTGTTCTTCGTGGTGTAGCATTCTTTGATTAAAAAACCAAACAAAACAACACCCCCAAAATAAATGAAGTAAAATTAAATAAATAAATAAATAAATAAATAAATAAATAAATAAATAAATAAATAAATAAATAAATAAATAAATAAATAAGTAGAATAATAAATAAATAAATAAATAAATAAGTAGAATAATAAATAAATAAATAAATAAAAAATAAATAAATAAATAAAATAATAAATAAATAAATAAATAAATAAAAAATGAATCAGATAATTTTTTTAAACGTTCTCTGACTTTTCTCAGCCTTTGTTTTGCAACAGACGTGTCGAACGCTCTTAATTAAATAGAAAACCTTAACTTGAAAGAGACAGGGTTTAGAAGCAGTAAGGGGTGAGATTAGATTGCATGAGGTCTGGTAAGGCTATATTGTAAATAAATCTAGTGACATAATATTATAATATGCGAAGATACATACCGGTATATCTTAGTAACTTTAAATTTCTATACCCACGGGAGAGGAACTGTTACACGAGGGATGGAGTTCTTATGATAACTTGTCAAGAGTTCTTGTGATAACTGTCATGGAGCTCGTCGGAAAATTTTTGTATATATACTACAAAAACACTCGTAAAAATGCTAAGTTTCATCTTTAAAAAGAGAGTTTTTGGTGCTAAATTAAACTTTAATGATTAAGCTGGCCTTGCATATTGTTTTATGTGTCAAAAACTATTTCATATGCCATTTTACATCGCCATTTGCTTAAAATCTGATAGTTTTGAGTAAAATTTCGGAATTATTTGCTAATTTGCACGTCTTGACCTGTTTATTTCTGGTCTTCATCTTTGTCATATATAATTGGCGTCCGCGCCAAAGCGCGGCGCCCTTATGGAATGAAATCAGATTTTGTAAAAGGGCGACAGCAACTTCTCGAGCCTTTTAGTCGGTCATAATAAAAGCCGATCATTCCGATCGGTATGAGGGGGCTTGATTAAAAAAATGTCTCGATATATACAATGAATTGCGAACTGGAGAATTTCGCAATGCATGAAATAACCTTTTCCGTCTCTTCGGGTTTTTTTATTTTATCATTTCGTAATACACAGTGGGTTATTATGGTATGTTAAAGTAGAATGATGAGTTGATGACCTAAACGTTCCGAAAATCTAATTCCCGGTCTCTCCCGGTCTATTTTGACCGGGATTTACTAGTGACAGGCGAATAGCGTTTATTGTCCGGTCTCTCCCGGTTTTGGAGTAGATGTTTGATATTTTTACAGATAAATAAGCTTTTTTTCCAAAATGAATGTTTGTCACTTAGCTTAGTTACAATAATTAATAAACATAGATCAACTCTCAAAGTTATTGATTATTATTATACATAAACATACACCTCGTAAAAAACCCCAACAACAACAATAACAACAATAGCATGTTTCATTTTATCTATAGGAGATAAAAACAATAGATATGTACAATAATTGAGGAAAAAGGTACATTTTTATGGTATTAATATGACACTAATAACTTTGAAACATTTTATTCAATTTGTTATTCGTGTTTAGTAAAGATGCCGAGGAATTATTCAAAGTTACAAATTAGATTTTATGAATTATTCAATTGATTGATAATTTAAAAAATAATAAAGAAAAATACAAATGTACATGTGCATGGTTTAAGAATAAACAATATTATATATTGAAAGATTTACCATAATTTACTGATTTTTTTCCAGTTAGGTTTTGACTTATAATCGTCGGTCAATATGACAATTGAATTCTTAAAATTTATTTTACAATTTTAATAAAAAAGAGTAGTAAACGTAGAAACTCAGTATTAAAATAGCACATAAAACACAAAAAAGATAGGAAAACAATATTCATAAAATCTGTACTTTTTATATTAAAATAGATATTACAATTATTGTATAATAAACAATTATGCTCAACATGATCAACATGGTAATATAACCAGTGTCATATTTTTACTAAGTGTGAACAGAAACCTTAAGAGGGGGTCTTCGCTAATAGCGATAACATAATAAGGGACAATTCCACAAGTGTGGTGTTGATCATACGTTACACATATGGATTATAAATGATTGTATACATGTATATCCGTTGCTATTAATAATCACGATCATAAAGAAATAACAAGTAATATTCTAATCTCTAGCATGCCAATCAAAGTTCATAATGAACAATGTCTTTCGTCCGTTCATTCTGGTAAAAACCAATTAACCATTGAAAAGTTTATAAGAATATCTTGTCATCATATGTCTACTAGTTCATCTTTACTTTCTGCATTTCTTGTTTGGACGTCCTTTGATGCTTTGCATCAATGCTTTTCTTGTTACCTAATTATAATGCAAAATTGCAAATATCTCCGATTTTAACAAGCTATCAGTAACTTCCGGTGATGTATGTATGTATGTATGTATGTATGTATGTATGTATGTATGTATGTATGTATGTATGTATGTATGTATGTATGCATGTATCTAGCTTTATTTGATCATGCTTCCATTTATACGATATATAAAAAAATTCCAGAAGGACTAACAACAGTAAATAAACTACTTATATATTTTCTCGTTTAACATTCCAATAATGTTAGTTCTACTGAAAAGGGAAGTAATCCTGTTTTAAAGACATTTTGAGAAAGACTGAGTTGTCATTCTTACAAACTTGGGTTGCCTGTTTTGTAATTTTTAACAAAGTGTAGACATAAGCTCGTGCTCGGTTCACCTTGCCAAATAGTTAACCGGTAATTACTAATTTCTTAAGTGATGCAAGTGACTCACATGATTTCTGGGATCATTTGTCACAAAGATATTTTCTCCGGACCCGAGGATCGAAACAGCGACCCCTGGAGTACAAATCTGGTGCTCTCCCTATTAACAGTATGTGACATTTGTTTACGGTAACATTGGGTCATCGCTAATGGCCGCACCCATTACTTAAAAAAAAAAAGAATTGTTATTTTTCGTTATATCTTCAATATTTATATAATTAACAGTTCAGGGCAAATATTTTCCGATTCCATTGGTCTATATTTTCCCATTGTAGCCATTGCAATATTCCTGATATGCTTGCAGACATTGTGACAAAGGAAAGCATATTTTCATGAAAATATTGCCTGCAAGCTCAACGGGGGAAGTAATAAGAGCTAAAATGGAACGTTTGATACATTCCTTTTTTTTTGTTTTTTTTTTGTTTTTTTGTTTTTTGTTTTTTGTTTTTTTTTTGTTTTTTGACGTATAGTGCTTTTTAAATAGTTCTCGCATTTAGTTAACATAAATTTTCTACAACCAATCGGTAAACGCTTACACAGGTGTTATGATTACATAATAACAGCACAGTTTTGTTTAAAATACCTTCTCCAAATCCCTCCAGAGGCGTGCACGTCGCGGAGAAGGCACACGGCAGGTCAAGGTCAAGTCATCTTAAGTACCAGAGGTGACTGGTTGACCTGTCGTGACTAACTCTGGAGGGTGGCGCTAACAAGAGCCGTTTTATGTCAACCGCCTGTTTGCAGCCGTCACGGAACTTGATGCTTTTCCGGTATTGTCTTTCCTCCACCGAACGAAGAACAGGACTTAGGAAGATCGGCATGAAAAAGACGTCCCCGATGAGACTACTAGAGTGGACCGGCATGGACGCTGAGATCTCGGACATATGGAATTTCCGGCGCCGAGCTAAAATAAACTTAAAAACACACACAAGTTTAAAAATATGTATAAGAGTATTGTTTGGTATGTATCATTCTTACAAGATGTTAAAAGATGTTTAAGAGTATCTGACACAGATATCGTACAGTTTTGAATTTCAGATTGCACTTAGACAGCCTTAAGCTGCTTTTTATGAAAATTTGAAACGTCTGCTGTATATATTTACTTTGCGACCTAATTTTAACGAGGCCAATGTTTAACTTATATATTCTACAATGTATGTGTTTACTTTACAACTACTCACGGATTTAATTCATACAATATAGACGCTAATAAGAAAAAGAAAGTAAACGTCTTAAAAAGACTAAATTCAGTTTATAAGAATATAAAAATAAGCGTATAAATTTTGAACAATATACTTTAATAGTCTTTTAAGTATATACACAAGTCCATTAGCACATTCTCGAGCTATTCTCTACTAGACTTAAAAAAAGATGTTTTTCATGGAATGGCACTACTGTATCACATTGACTGTCCCGTGATAACCGCCGTATGAACACATCTGTGGATGTTTCTAAATTCAAAATTCCTCCTTTTTTGTGTAAAAATGTTGAATTTTGCTTAAGCTGGTGCACGGTAACTTGCTCCACGAACAGGCTCAATGAAACCGAGCTTGCAAAATTTTTTAATTTTGTCGTGTTGGGCTTTCCTAAGGAATTCTGTTTTTTTCTCTATTTTAATACATGGCATTCAAAACTTACATAAACAACACTTTAAATTTAAGATATAGTGTGGAAAAGGATTTCAATATTTTCTTGTTTAACTTATAAAGTATATAATTATATATTCTACAATGCATTGTTTTCTGTATAAAATATTTTCCAATTCAATATATAAAATATAAAACAAACAAGGAACACAATAATAAAGTTTGATGAATCACTGGATCGAACACACAGGCTGTTGATGATGCTATCACTTTGTCCAGATCAATAGAATTTATCACGTGTACACCTGAAATGTAACATATATCTATTAATATTATTTGGACATTTTATACCGATTGCTGATTGGTGACCTTTTTGCTGTTTCCACGACAAAATGAAAGTGGCAGAACAGACCAGCAAAATAAACAATTAATCACGTGGACACCTGAAATGTAACATATATCTATTAATATTATTTGGACATTTTATACCGATTACTGATTGGTGACCTTTTTGCTGTTTCCACGACAACATGAAAGAGGCAGAACACATCAGAAAAATGAGCAAGTAAACGTTTTTATTTTTTTTGCAGACTACGTTCAAGATTAAATCTGCAAAAACAATTCTTACTTTTTGACTAATCACAAGGCAAAAATTGGAAAATGTCCTAAAACTGCCTTCAAATTTTTATCTTCCCATATATCATTTTAGTTATTGAAATTTTATATCGTTCTATTAAAATATATAAAAAAATCGGTTGTACATTAGAGTATTCAATTACATTAGCAAAAAATATCCGGTAAAATGAGCTATTTGTAGATATTTAAAACATATCTATTTCGGCAAAAAACACAGAGATGTATTACACTAAAGTTTGTTAAGTCAGCTTTAATTTCTCTTCATCTGTCACCCGGCTGCCCCATGCCAGGCAGATTTAATTTCAAGATATACTTTGCTCAATTTTGGTCTTTGAAAATATTGGTAATTGCTAAACAGTATCTTTGTAAATATGAAATAAACATGTTTTGACGTCAATCAAAGTACATATGTTATGTTTTGCACTATACACACTACAGGTCCATACTATGAATATATCGTGCCATTGAAAAATGGAAGTTTTTTTAAGACAGGACCTACTTTACTTGATTTGTAATAGGGAATGTAGCTTCCCAGGTAGCTGATCTTGTAAATTCAATGTGGCTTACTGTCGTGATCTGGAGTAAAAAACTACTAACACCATTATACTTACCGCGAGATTTAAGATCATTCAGAATACTGGGTACATTATTTGAATTAACAGGTCTACTGGCATCTAACACTGTATAAACTTCATATCCTGGAAATTTAAATACAGAATATATTCTACTATTAATTTTCTTTTTATTTTGAGTTTTGTTTTTCTAAAAATAGCATGTCTATATAATTATTTAAATTATATTACTATAATGTATTATGTTGGAAACGTTGTATAATGTTTAAAGCAAAAAGACTTGTATTGCATTGTAGCATTGTATTGTATAGTTTTGTATTGTATTGCATTGCATTGCATTGCATTGTCTATGGAATTGTATAAATTTCTTATCATAAATATTGGCTGTGATATTGTTTACTGATTTTAATGCTTCCTTAAAGGCCCATTAAGTCTAATAATTGTTACTATTTCTATTTTTCAAAACCTTTATGTTGTTGTGATTTTGCAGTTTCCAAAACGTTTCTTATTGGCCATATAGGCAGTAATCTTTGTGCTGTTTTACATTTTGGCATTCAATACAGTTATAATTAAGTAGTATTTTGTATATGGAAGTCAAGGTACTTATTTATTCACATATTGCTACATTTTATCACAGAATGATCCAGATTTATTGCCGTTTTCTTCTGATAATAAGCATCTTACATGTCCCAAATCCATCACTATAACATTTTAAAACATATGTTTTGCCCTTCCCACAGAAAAAAATATTTACTCATTTCTAAGGTTTAAATTGCTCACAATTTAATGTTGTATGCATTACTTATTGATATTATTAATTAATTAAATGTCAAAACTAGAAATGTGTCCATAGGATTCGGGTCCCCCCCCACTCCACCAATTTGTCAATCTTATGTCTCTAGGTCGAATATTTTTTTGGCTACATGTGCCCAAGTTGAAAACTAAAAATCTTTTATTGTGTAATCGGCAAATACTACAAATACTGAATAAATCCACAGGAAAATCCCAAGGTGCATAAGTACACATGCTGACCAACATTCTTGTAAACTTTCAGGCCTACAGGTCATAAACTTTTTGAGTTACGTGCAACACAAGTTAAATATTGTAAATTTTTACTAAGTCAAGGGCAATAACTCTAAAAATACTAAATATATCCACACGAAAATACCCAGGTGCACAACTACACATGCTGACCAACATTCTTGTAAACTTTCAGGCCTACAGGTCATAAACTTTTTGAGTTACGTGCGACACAAATTGAAAATTGCCATGTTTTACTAAGTCAAGGGCAATAACTCTAAAAATTCTAAATATATCCACACGAAAATACCCAGGTGCACAACTACACATGCTGAGCAACATTTTTGTAAGGTTTCATGACTCTATGTCAAATATTTTTTTAGTTACGTGCGGCACAAATTGAAAATTGTAATTTTTTACTAAGTCGAGGGCAATAACTCTAAAAATTCTAGATATATCCACACGAAAATACCCATACCCAGGTGCACAACTACACATGCTGATCAACATTCCAGTAAGGTTTTATGACTCTAGGACAAATATTTTTTGAGTTACGTGCGACACAAATTGAAAATTGCCATTTTTTACTAAGTCAAGGGAATAACTCTAAAGATACTAAATATATCCACACAAAAATACCCAGGTGCACAACTACACATGCTGATCAACATTCCAGTAAGGTTTCATGACTCTAGGACAAATATTTTTTTAGGTTACGTGCGACACAAGTTGAAAATTACAAATTTTTACTAAGTCAAGGGCAATAACTCTAAAAATACTAAATATATCCACTTGAAAATACCCAGGTTCACAACTTCACGTGCTGATCAACATTCCTTTAAGGTTTCATGACTCTTGGTCAATAACTTTTTTAGCTACGTGCGACACAAAAAGGGAACGGACGGACGGACTGAAGGGTAAATCTAAATGCCCCCACCCCCCGCTGTAGTGGGGGCACAATAATCGTTACCTATTTTCTTGGCATCTTTAGAGGTGTAGTAAACACAGAAGTCTAGGGCAAGTCCGGTAACAATCACCGTAGAAATATCATGTCTGCCCAATATGTTCTCAAGCTCGGTCTTGGAAAATCCACCATTGTCATAAAATGCAGAGTAGGAGTCCACCTTGAAAAAACAACAAAAAAAACTGAATTCATGTAAATGCGCATATAGAATAGTTTTTGATAGACATTAATGTACTCGACTTTTTTTGTTATTGTGTAAAATTTTAATTCTAACTTTATTTGTTTCGAGAGTAATAAAAACAAGTGGATCGTCAGAACTCCAATTCAAATTCTAGGATCATTAATAACTGGACCATTTCACATTTTATAATGACAGGACAAATCGATGTGGCTTATATAACACACCGTACAGTCAAATAGGTATACAACCGTTCAACGCGTCGACAGAAGTACAAGTAGTCGGTCTAGACGGTAAGAATTTATCTATTTTTAACGTATCCCAACTGTGTTTGAATAAATCAATGTTATGGATTATAATAAGTAGTCAACATCTAAAGGAATTATTTTATAGCATATCAACTGATTTAAAGTATGATTATAAGTTTGTTAATTAGTAAGTTAGTTTGCATGCGCTTCAGAGTAGGTAAAGGTAAAATTTAACATCTAATACTAATATTCAGTCTTATAAATAAAAGCATCGATTCAGTGTAATTATAATTTATGGCACATAATGTCGATGTGATCATTAAATAGAGGCAAATGATTGATGACGTTACTCAATTTTTTAAAGTATTCAAACTCAAATACACTTTATACCTTTAATAGAAAAGCATTTTTACTTTGTCTTTTTTGTATGAACATTTGAATATATTTTGTTCTTCTTAATTTCTATTTCTTTTTTTATTTCATTTTTTTTGTTCCTCTCTTTATTAAGAAACCAACGACATGTCGAGTGATCTTTTAAAAATTTTATTTCACATTTCAACAATCAAACTATTTTAAATACACTACGATCGCGAAATATTAAAAATTGAATATATGGATCAATATACATAACACACCCCATTTCATTGTATTTTTTTACATTTCTGATATTGCTGATGTTTGGCGTTTTTCCCAAACTTAACACAACTCCATATCAACCCGTGTACAAAATATTCTGTCTCGCATTTGTAACTATTTGAAACAAAACTGGTCAAATAAGAAAAAGATACAGAAAACACACTCAAATATAATGGTACCTACCCTAACCTTAGAACGAGCATTTTTATGCATGCAACAACACTGACACGGACACTCTGCCTACTGTGCTTTCAAGGCACATGAAAATATGACATTTTATAAGTTTGTGTTTTATTTATTAGCCTTCAATCTGCCTTACCTATTTTATCCCATTGTATATGCGAACAAAGGCTCAAGTTATCGTCCTGGGATAGTACTTTGGTAAAAATGCCCCCAGGTTAATATTTGAATACAAAGTGTGAAATATATCTCCAATATTTAACGTATATATCAGGGGAGGTCACTCTTACCGACTCTTTTTTGAGCACAAAAGTAACCTCCCTTTGAAATTTTACGCCATTTGCAATGTTATTAGGGGAGGTCACTTTTACCGACTTGATTTTTAGCGGAGCAGTAACCTACCTTTTGAGCCCTTACCCCATTTGCAATGCTATCAGGGGAGATCACTATAACTGACTCTATTTTCAACCCAACAGTAACCTCCCTTTGAACTCTTTCGCCATTTGCAATGTTATAAGGGGAGGTCACCCTTACCGATTCTATTTTGTGCGCAACAGTAACCTACCTTTGAACCTTTTCACCATTTGCAGTGTTATCAGGGGAGGTCAGTCTTGCCGACTCGATTTTCAGCGCAACAGTAACCTACCTTTTAAGCCTTTAGGTAGCGCACCACAGTAATGTAAGCCACAGCTTCGAATGGCCAGGGAGGATTTCTTGGATATAGTGAATATTCTGGATTTAAATGACTGGTTGTCTTTAAAATGCATTTTCAGCATAAAATTTGTTTTTGTGACATCTAATATGATCACTGGCAAATTCGAAAACATGGCCAGAAATCACATGCTGTTGATTATGAATGTCAAGGCCGCCATTTTTTGTAAACATTGCTTTTATACGGCATGCACGGTAAAAAGAAGTCATTTTACAGGGGGGGGGGGGGGGGGGTACAAACTTTTAGCAGTAGCAAAAAATCTACAAGGTTGAGGACTAGTTTCTTTGTGATATTTTGCATGTATAGGGAGTTGCTAAAGCAGAGACGGTGTTCCTTTAGCCTGTATATTTGCAGATATTTTTGCCAGAGGGTCGAAATGTGTTGTTTTGGGTCTCGGGCCACTGTAGATTTTGGGCTTCAACGGAATGAATTGCAAATTTTTTGACTGCCTGCCTATTGCAGATGGGATAATTTCTTTGTAGATTTGCAATCTTATGTCATATATGTTCTCAACAAAATGTGTTTTCTTTTTCCAGGTTGTGTAGTTTGGTATCAGAATTATTAGACGTATTGCTTGTAGGACATTGACGGCAGGAACTTGAAATTAACTGTGGAGTGCTACCTTATCACATTTGCAATATCATCAGGGGAAGAAACTCTCAATGACTTTTTTTGAGCACAATAGTAACCTCCCTATGAGCCCTGTTACAATTTGTTAAACTAGCACATTACATCAATATTTCATTAATGTACTAAAAGGCATTGTCGGTTACACAATAAAAAGTCTTATCTCATATGTGTGCATCATATATCAAAAGCTGGAAACGATTTTAATAGTGTTTGAATTAATTATTTAATTATTAATCTTCTTCAAACACAAAATAAATACTCACAAAAAGTTGTGTATTTTACAAATGACTAAATCTTATAATGAATCTATATAATAGAAGTCTTTCTCTTTTCTTTTTTTCATAAAAAATTTATTGGTGGTTTCAAAGTACTAAATTTCCTTATTCATTATGTACTTAAAAAGGCCCCAAGATGTCTGCAAACCTATATAATCCTGAAGACAAGAGGTTATAGTAGATTTATCTAGAGATTATTAATCAATTATCATATTTTGTCGAGTATAAAATTCGGACGGTGGGTAGATGTCATCAAAGACTTCAAATTCCTTACAGTGATAATCTCCCTTGGCAGATTGCAAAGATCACTTTACTGATCAGAGGAGATCACTGCGTAGAAGTGCAGATACTTTTAATACCGAATATGAATATATACATTTAGCTCTGTCATACACTATTTGATTGTACGATGTGTAGAATATTTTATTCAAGTTTTTATTCAAGGCCTAACTGTACATGTGAATATTTTATTCAAGTTTTTATTCAAGGCGAGAAAATAACAATATAACAAAACATCACAACTCTAAGTAAAGTTACAATAGTAAACTGAAACCACCATGGCAATACTATGTGAACACATGTGCACAAGAAAAAATAAAAATGATAGAAATAATACAATCGCAGTTTTAGAATGGGAGAATGAGATGATTATGTAAATGTTCTACCTGACAGTTATATCCTTTCCGCACAACAATATCTTCATCTTCTATTTTCAACTGAGAGCTGAACTTGGCGTCTGTACTATTTATTATACAATGATCCGGCCATAAGGTCTGGTTCACAGTTATGGGGCATTGATTGTCGTTACTCGTACATAATTTACCTTTAATAAATAATAAATGACATATGTTGTAACTACAGATATTTACTATGATCCAGGATACTTTCCTACTGATAACAGGAATTTATTTATCATTTTCTCTTTAACCTTTCTAAAACCGCTGCGCCGTTCTTGGCCAAATTATGTTTGTAAATGCTTTTTTATGAACACAATTAAAACAAGTCGAGAGAATTGTTCAACAAATCACACCGTATTACCGGCGCCAGTGATGGCAGAAAGCTGAAATTTACCGCTTGGTACAGGTAGGTTATAAATTTAGTTGGTATTATTATATTACACAAATACGGCCCATTTCATTACTATGAAACTATTGTCCATTGACTGGAGATACTATTAGGTAATTTTTTACTCGTTTTCCTGTTTATAGACTATTATGAGCAGGTTAAAAGTGACAGCTTCGGAAAAATCCGTGAAAATGTCTGTTTTTTGTTCAAAATATCTCAAGTTTTAACTAAATGGCAGGATTTCGTGTTAATAATATAGACATTCATCCATTGGGGTCACGCAAGCCAAATATATACCCCGTGAATCTTTTCTTGAAAGTTTTACAAACGTTCAATCTGGTCCGGTCGAAGAAAAAATTCTGTCGTTGTAGGCAGATACTTATTTTAAATGCTGCCGTCGATGGCAGAAATACCATGAAAGTGGCTAACATTCTTACAGAAAATCAAGGTCAATATTATATCAATTTCTCTATTCTTTGCGTCCTTTTAGTCGGAATTGAGACGTTAAACTATCATTTCTAATATTTTCTCAAGATAGAAAAAGTTATTAATGCGGTATGTGCATCGAAAAAGCTTTTAGCAACACGCAGTTACAATACAAAATGTGATGATTCAGTACGACCAAATTGCACTATAAATACATGTAGAGCAATTAACATGAAGAAATTCATTTTTCTATAATTATGCATGTGTGCTTGAACTGTTGTGTCTGTCAAGTACATGCATACAATACCATATGTATCTGAAGTTTAGCGGCGCAAAATTCACTCCCTTTTCAAGACATAACGCCATTTGCATATTACAGCTGTAACTTCAGAAAGTGGATATTCATTTGCTAACATATAACATTATTTTTTCGAGGTAATAATGTTCATCGCTTTATGACATAAAGGCTGAAATTTACTTAGTCGACGCTAATGCTGATGATTATAAGTTACTAAATCGATGTAATAAAGGGGAGACTATTAACCTTGCAACTGACAAGATCTGTGGACAACAGTGTATCATAAAACAATGTATGTTAATGTAATATGGAAATTAAGAGAATATTATCGACAGTTCAAATATTTTCCTATATTTCCACCTTACTGTTAGTACTGTTGTTAATATTTTAGCATAGTAAATGTAATTCAAAGACAAACTACAACGCGATTTCAAACATGAAAGTTTAAAGAAATGAATCCACGTTGTCGTGTTTTTTCAAAAACTTGATAATATAGGAAAATATTTGAACTGTCGATAATATTCTCTTAATTTCCATTTACTACATTTCCCTTTTGAAAAAATCACCACTCTAGTTTTGGCTGTATTTACTTGAAGTTTCCATAACTCGCAATAAGTAGACATAGCATCTAGTGCAAATGAATATCCACTTTCTGAAGTTACAGCTGTAATATGCAAATGGCGTTATGTCTTGAAAAGGGAGTGAATTTTGCGCCGCTAAACTTCAGATACATATAGTATTGTATGCATGTACTTGACAGACACAACAGTTCAAGCACACATGCATAATTATAGAAAAATGAATTTCTTCATGTTAATTGCTCTACATGTATTATTAGTGCAATTTGGTCGTACTGAATCATCACATTTTGTATTGTAACTGCGTGTTGCTAAAAAGCTTTTTCGATGCACATACCGCATTAATAACTTTTTCTATCTTCAGAAAATATTAGAAATGATAGTTTAACGTCTCAATTCCGACTAAAAAGACGCAAAGAATATATATATATAGAGGAATTGATAAAATATTGACCTTGATTTTCTGTCAGAATGTTAGCCACTTTCATGGTATTTCTGCCATCGACGGCAGCATTTAAAATAAGTATCTGCCTACAACGGCAGCTATTTTTCTTCGACCGGACCAGATTGAACGTCTGTAAAACTTTCAAGAAAAGGCTCACGGGGTAGATATTTGGCTTGCGTGACCCCAATGGATGAATGTCTATATTATTAACACGAAATCCTGACATTTATTTAAAACTTGAGATATTTTGAACAAAAAACAGACATTTTCACGGATTTTTCCGAAGCTGTCACTTTTAACCTGCTCAAAATAGTCTAAAAGCAGGAAAAACGAGTAAAAAATTACCTAATAGTATCTCCAGTCAATGGACAATAGTTTCATAGCAATGAAATGGGCCGTATTTGTGTAATATAATAATATCAACCAAATTTATAACCTACCTGTACCAAGCGGTAAATTTCAGCTATCTGCCATCACTGCAGTGATCTGCCATCACTGGCGCCGGTAATACGGTGTAAATGATCAAATTTATTTCTTATCAATCCTTCTTATACTATAGCTAGACAAGTACGAATTGTTGTTGCTGAAAAATGGAATGTGGAAAGCCACGTGGTCTGTGTGTTACTTTAGAAAACAAATCTAGGAATCATAGCCGTAATATGAATAACGATATAACTATCAATAACCTAACAGTGTAAAAAAGAGTCTACTTCCTGTTTCCCAAGAAAGGTACAGGTGTTAAGATATCTAGGCTCCAAAAAATGACAGTGATCGGAAGTAAGAGGTGCTTACATGACCTATAGATTAAATTGTATAGGCTTGCAAGACATCGTTTATCCACTTAGAACCTGAGTATATGATTCAACCTCTAAGTTCGTCTGCTTTAAATTTACCTCATTGCAAAAAAAAACAATTTACCGGTAGAAGTATAACTGAGTGGTATAACGTCATAGTTGTTATGGCCATCATGTTCTGACGCAAACGACACGTGATTATCACAGTGCCAATCCTGCGAGAAAACTGTCATATCAATTTGTTGCGCATACTTCCGGCGGATGTTGTTAATTATAGGAATTACGTCATCGCCATCTGTTACAGGAAGTGTCCCTCCCGGTAGGAAACAATTTTGGACATCAATGACGAGTAATGCTGTTTTTGACTGCGCAGGAATATATGTACTGTACAGAATGGCTATTGTAGTGAATAACCTGAAACATTTTTTTAAAAAATCAGCAAATGATGAATTCCCACATACAGATGAGTGTTCACGTGATATTTAATTACGGTATCATTGGGCCAATGCTAATGAGATCGCTAAGGACCTGAACTGTTTCTTGCTATTTTTTCGTTATATATATCAATATGTGATTAAACAACATATAACATCTTCTAGGCAGAAATATTATATTATATATATTATTATTAAATTTCCATTGTTGCTCATTTACTTGTCTTGTGTCTTGTTATGCTTGCACAATGTTTCTAAGAGTTAGCTTTTGATTGAAGTATGTGGTCACATTGAGTCACAAATTTCTGCAAGTATATCGATATTGGTAAAGTATATACCATTAGAATTGGCAAAGATTTACCTGGAAGATGGTACATTTCATTATTAAGCCATGGGCGCTGCCACTAGCGTTGACCCAATGTTACCGTAAACATAAAGCAATGTCTCCTGATCACCCACCTTGACGTATAGATATAATATTGAACTCAAGTTCTCTGTCGTATAGATATAATATTGAACTTTACGTTAATAACGCTTTACATTACATAATACTAGTAATTTGAGCATATCTTTGTATAACTTTTATGTAAGACCATTGATTCCTATTGAAACTTCCATTATTTCTTAATATTAAGAATTAGCTACACGTCATAATATTTCATACATTCGTACATACTTACTGTATTCCGCCAAACTTGATTTGTGAACCAACCATTCCAAATGTTTCAACTTAACATAGGTTAGATTTATACATCAAAGACCCACAACGGAGCCAAATAGAGGGTCATGACCATAGCTTCACTTATCACTTAGCTAAAAAAAGTATTTAATTTCAGTAGCCATTTAGTATTCTTTAGACAGATTAATTTAACTTTAGCTTTTGTTAAAGGACATTCTTAACAAATACAGACATATACACATACATATAAATTGCACAAAATTTCCATTTTTTCTCACAAAAACATGTTGTTCTTTCAGTTTTTAAACTTCATGGAATACAAAAAAAACAAAAAAACAAACAAAAACAAAACAAACTAAACAAAACAAACTAAACAAACTAAACAAACAAACAAACAAACAACAAATACCCCCTCTCCCAAGAAAAAAAAAGCAAAAAGCACCCAAAATAACAACGTGTAATTAAGTTTAAAGTTTTGAAACATATATACCCTGCGTTAACATGATTCTTCGTAGTTGACAAGGCTTTGTACAAATAGAGAAAAACGTATTCCCTAAACAGAACAAAATGTTGCTTCACGGCCTCCACACGGTACAAATAATGCCGCCGTGGCAACTGCGATGTTCAACTAATAAGAGGTATAAATATTCCGTTCTCTTCATTTTATTTCAATATGTTTTGATGAGGTGACTGATTTATCAGGCATGCACTTTTATCAACAGAAATCACTGTAATGACATGATGAAATAGAGAAAAACAAACTCACGTTACATCCTTATACGATACATTTGTTGAAAATGACATGTATGTGATGTTTTTGTATATGTTCAAAGTAACTGATAATATAAACAAATTAACTTGCGCTCATTTATTATTTGCAGCTTATCTTAACCTCAAACTTATTAACGCCATCTTTATCTAGATTTGAATACAGTGAATATATAGAATATATTAAAAGTCACACTATGACTCAGAAACTTTTATTCTTTCCTTCTTTAGAAAGGGCATACATTATTAGTTATAAAGATTGTTGACAGGTTATATGGCCCTATATAAACGGCTATTTGTAAATATGACCCGAGCCGCTAGGCGAGGGTTATATTGCAAACAGCCGATTATATACGGTCATATAACATGCCAATAATCTTTATAACGAGTTTATAATACAGCAAGTATCATTTTTTAGAGAAAAATGTAAGATTTCTTCATGAATGGACAGCAGCCGTGTATATAGAATTATATAAACGTCACAGTTGTCCAATGAAAAGCGACGTTACAAACGTGCAGTATTATAAGAGTTTAACAACGTGTAAATAATGCTTTTAAGAGAATGTTTGAAGAAAATAACATGTAATGTGAAATAATTTGTCATAAAAGTAGCAAAAATGTAAACAAAGAAGTATAATTTACACTTCCATACAAAGAACTAAATCACTATATCTGTACTAAGTGCCAGAATGCCACAGAAGCAAAAAGTGGTTCAGATAAATCACTAATTAGTTTTTTTTAACTTTAACAGGACACCAAAAACTTCCTAGATAGGAAAAAAATTGTGGGCATTGTAGCCATAATGGGCCTTTAAACAAGTTATGTTTATAGGTTATTTCGACCAAGGCCCATAAATGAATAAAATGTAATTATGTTGCTACTTTAATATCAACATCATTTCAAAGAGAATTCATTAACTTGGGCTTTTATCATTATTTAGTGACAAAGGTCAATGAAAGTTTTACAATAACAACAACACTTGACTCTATAATTGACTATAAACTAAAAGTGACATTATGCCCATCCATGGGTAGATATAGAGTGAAGAGACGAAAGTCAAAATAGGTTAACATTTTCTCATAATTCCTTTCAATTTTATAATTTACTTTACATGAGCGAGATAAATAACTCACTAGGCCCTGTGAAATGTGTGTAATTATCCGTCGCAATGTACCAATTTATAAAAAAAGTGGGGCAGTCTTTTTATATATTTAGGTAAATTTATTTTTTACTCTAAACATTTTCAAATATCATGTGTTGGTCAATCACTATTATAACGGCCAGTATATTGAAAAATATAGTCAATTAAAGACAATTTGACAATGAAAAAATGAGCATAGTGTCACTAATATAGAGTAATATAGAGTAACTGATATAATAATATAGAGTGGTAGATCAATATAAGAACATCAAACTCAAAACTTTGACTGTTTTAAATCAGTTAAAAATAAAAATGCCCGACATGTTTTTTTTCTACTGATACAAGTAATTAATATGAGAAATGCCGATGATAAAAGGCTACGAAACATCATCATCATCAACAACAACAACAACAACAACAACAACGACGACGACAACAACAACAACAACAACAAAAATAACATCAGTACCTCCATCATTACCACCAACACCTTACTAACAACAACAACAACAATTCTAGAGAAGTATTAATATACGATGACCTACATCACAATGTACCCATTATGTATTTCATCTCCTAAATGCTGATAACTGCCTATGCAGTTGTATAAGTTATAAAAAGAGCATCGAAACACGAGGCTATCTAAGGAAGGGACATAGCCCCCGAGTATTATCAGATTGCCGAGTGTTTTGTTGTTCTTTCTCTTTTGTATCATACACGTTCCCTGTTCTCATAATATGAAACCCCAGAGAAAAGGAACCAATGAACGAGCATCTGAATATTATATTTCTATCGCTTTATCCTTTCTCTACCGTCACAATAAGTAAACCCCAACAAAAATGAGCCAATCAATGGGCATGCTCTGAAGTGCGGGTCACTAATTAATACCTGCACTCCAGTTAACGTACTGTGCATGTATATGTATACGATTTAACTCTGACACATTTTCAACAGAAATGTCCCCAAACTATATGATACAAAGATATATACCTACATGTACAGCAAAGCAGTTTCGCCGGACGTCAGTATTATCATTGTCAAAAATCTTAGAGAAAAACGAGATCAAACGATATCCATCAATATTCATGTACACTATTTATTTCCCGTTGGCGCATATTTTGCACTATCAAGACATCAAAAAAAGTCACGTGCCAAATTGTTTATCTCCTTGTCACTGATTATTATACCATAAATTATACTGTTTGAACTGGATGAGTCACCATTGCTTTTGATTTTTTTCTTTTATGTAAATATGTAATTGTCTTAAAGGCTCCTAAAGCCTTAAAATTTTACTATTGCTATTTTTTTTAAAGCTAATTATTATTGTTGTTCTTGTTTTGTTTTGTTTTGTTTAGGTTTCCGAATCGTTACCAATTCACAATATATCTTTAATTGTCCATATTTTGCTTCTTTTGTGTATTGGCTATAAGTACAGTTATAGTGATTAAGATATTTTTTGTACGAATGTCAAAATAACATTTTGTTTACAATTTCCTACCTTATTGCAAATTACGTCGTATTCAGGTAATGGGCATCGCATATGGCATGAATCCAATAAATAACATTATGAAATACATTCTTGCCCGTTTTACATAAGGTAAATTTCAGTCCTATTTTAGCCTTCATGTGCCTTTAAAATCAAACCCATAACCAATTGAATTCCTTAAATGGACTTGTCCATCTTCCATTGTTTTGAACTGTCCATTATCAATTATAGGGATAACTATATAATTTTTAATGGTCAGCAAATAGTATAGACCCTGGTTAGTACAGGCTGGCCCTGCACTATACTGGTCACACACCTGTTCCTATCAGGCTAGTGTATAACAGATGAAGAGGCCAACACGTGGAGTTTATTTTCATTCTTATTTAAATACTTTTCTCAATCTTTAAAAAAGTTCTTTTAAAAATACAATACTTTCAAAATATTATTTGCACATAAAAAGATGTAGCCACCATTTAATTTTTTTAAATTAATTTAAATCTTACCATTTTTGTTGTACAAATCCACACTGATTAAACCTATTAATGTCCATACTTTTGTTCTACTTGTAGTGAAATAAAAGTTACATTGTTCTGTTGACATTTAAATGCTTGGGGTGCGTAGATTTATCTCGTACTTTAAAGCGAATTGCCCTTACATTTCAGTATCTCGTCACTGTTCAAACATTTAACGCTATATTAACAACGTGCCTTGACATAAAATAAATATCACCAAATTCTATATAAATATCACCAGTGTTTGCTTAAAATAGGTGCATCGTTGCAGTATGCATTTGAAATGTAAAGATGAATTACTCGTTCACTAGTTTTGCTCTCTGTCCGTTTTTCCGTCTGTCCGCAAGTCCTCAATGTGACATGAGTTGAATGTATTTATTGTTATTATGATGTT